TAATTTCTTACTGCTAAATTCAGAAAAAACAGAGGTGTTAATTATCGGACCTAAAACCACCGCATGTAATAACCTAGAACACTTTCTAACACTTGATGGTTGCTCTGTCAATTCTTCGTCATCAGTTAGGAACCTAGGTGTGCTATTTGATGGAAACCTTTCCTTTGAAAGTCATGTTTCTAGCATTTGTAAAACCACATTTTTCCATCTTAAAAATATATCTAAATTACGACATATGCTCTCAATGTCAAATGCAGAAATGTTAATTCATGCGTTCATGACCTCAAGGTTAGATTCATTCTTATTCTGTGGTTACTGTAGCCACCCAGATCCATTCCATATCCAGATCAGACAGTCACTGCAGTCACCTGGATCCAGGCCGTATCCAGTCCAGATGGTGGATCAGCACCTAGGGACGTACATATAGCCCTGAATGTCAGCGGAGACCATGTCAACTAGACGAACCCTAGAGACAGATCCCCTGTGAAGACCTTGTCGGCCATTGGCACAAGACCACGAGAACCAGACGAGTCCTCTGCTTAATCTGACGCGTGTCGCAGCCTGGAATTAAACCACACTATGATGGTTTCGTCTGGCTAGAGGAGAACTGAGCCTGGTTTATCCCAAAGTTTTTTTTCTCCATTTCTGTCACTGATGGACTTTTGGTTCCTAGCCACTGTCGTCTTTGGCTTGCTTAGTTTCTGGCAACATTATTGACTTGACTGCACAGACACTATTGGAAGAGAACTAAACCGAGCTGGATGACGACATCACTGAATCAACAATGAACTGACTTTAACTGATAAACTGTTTTCTATTGTCCTCTTGCATTATCAGCACACATTTTTCCTGATTAACACTGTAAAGCCGCTTTGACACAATCTGTATTGTTTTATATAAAGGTGACTTGACTTGTATATATGTATATGTATATAAATACACATACATACATGTATATATTTAAGAAATATTTACATGCATAAGTATATTCATATTCATGTATGATTTAAATTATATATAAATATATATTTTATACTTTTATTTTGGATGCAATTAATCCTGGTTAATCAATTTGACAGCCCTAAAAAATATAAATATATATATATTTTAGGGCTGTCAAATTGATTAACCAGGATATATATATATATATATATACATACATATACACGCGCACACACACACACACACATATACTGTATATATAATATATATAATTTTTTTCATCATTACGACAAATAAATCTCCTTGAACTTAAGCAGCTCAACTCCATACAAACCTGGTCAAAATTTATCTTGCATTTATTACAGAATCGAAACACATAAATGAAGTATGAATACTTTGGGTAGTGAAACAGGGTAGCAAAAACAATAAATAGGCAAACACAACCATTTATGGTCCCAAACAAAGGCTTTGGAATGCATATATGCTGTATGAATACAATAAAACCAACATACGGTTTAAAACTAGCGTTCTCAAACATTTTTGGTCCATGAAAGCAGTAGTTGTGAAACGCTACGCAGGAAGTATGTTTATAATTGCATGCAGTCCAACAGCCAGCAAGAGCTAGTGCAGCACCAATGCATTCATTTCCCATCTCCTTTTCTCATGTGGTGGGAAAAATTATGCATGCCAAACGAATAGATAAATAAATCAAGGGCCCTTCGGAGTCAATCACACTTGAGGCAGAGTAAAAAGGAAGTTGATATGTGTTCGAGGTGTGCACTTCTGCTGGTTTGGGGTGAGAGTATTAACAGTGTACTCATATCCAGGAGAGCGTGACTATTTATCACAGTGAGCGTGTAGAGACGGTTTTCCCAGGCGTGTGCTTCCATGATGACATCGTGATGCATCACATGCTCTCAGTGGTGCGTGTGGAGCCAGCAGCAGCCTCCATTTGCAGCCACATAAGAGACGCAGATGATTGCCGCAAGAGACACACGGGAATCTGCACTTCTTTAAACATACCGTTAGTTACCGGCTATTCGCCCCAAGGATGTCCTTTAATTCCTTGTGGGATTCTGGGAAAACATCTTTACCAGCAGGAATCAACATTCAGTTTCAACAAGGTGACAGCGTATCCTGAGGGAAAGCCGTAGTGGTACAGTCTACAAATGGGTGGAAATCCTGGACTGAAACAACCGGAAGTTCAAAGGTTGATGCCAAGGTGAATGTTCATAGTACTGTCAAACGGAAAACAAGTCCTTCTTATGGTAGGCAGAAAGTACAGTGTCATTTTGTCTGAGGTGCACAACTCTATGGATGATGTCATTCTTCCACTTAAGCTGGAGCCAATCAGATTCCACAACATTCTAGTTCATTAGAATAATATATTCCCGCCTGAAATTATTTGGTTATTTACCAATATATGATAATAACAAGAGCAAAAACGGGGCATTGCAAGTAAATAATGGGATTCATTAATTGAAACAAGGAAAATGAATCATTAGTATCATTCTTACATAAATGGTCATTTCACATTCAATTTGATGCAGCAATTGAAATACAAACACCTGAAATTATTTAGTAATCATTTATCAATACATTATAAATGCAAATGAAAAAGCATAAAGGGGGCATAACTCTGGGATTCATTCATGAAACACAAGCAAAAAGAATCACTGGTAAAACTGTGTGTAAATAGTCACTACACATTCAATTCTGAAGTAAGATTGCCTGGAATTATTTGGTAATCATTTATCAATATTTGATGAAATAAAAGCATAAAGGGGGTATTGTGAAGTAAACACTGGGATTCATTCCTGAAACGTGATGAGAATGAATCGTTTGTGTACAGTAAATTATTATTTCATTATTTTACAATTTGATGTAACCCCTGATTAAAACTATTCTGATCTGGATTCATGAATGATGCCTATTATGAATGACGAGTAAACAATATAACTTTCATTTATCAAAATATGAATGGATCATTTGCAGCCATAAACAGACAGTTTTTTTTTTTTTTAAGATCTTAAACATAATTTTCTTTGCTTTGGGTCACTAATTGAAGCAGAACTAATTATTTTGATCACTTTTAGATCAGCTCTGTTTACTTGCATTTAGTAAATTTACACAGGGCTGTCACTAAAATGGATGAAATTCACACATTTGTATGCACGAGCCGCCTCTAAATGAGTTGGCCATACATAAAGGGCATTTGAGGTGCCTCGTCATCACAGGACCAGAGACAATGTTCCTGGTTGTCCATCACTTAAATTATCTGGAGTGTATCTAAAACACTAGATCTACACACAACTACTAACAAGTACACAAGCCATAACAAAAATAAAGATACAGCAAAGGAAATACATGCATTTACAAGACAGGATGTCGCAAACAGACCATGAGAGGAAGAATTTTGAAACTATGATTATGAAACTATAACATATAACACATTTTTAGATCATAAATAATAATACTAACTGCATAAACAGCTGTCAAAAAGACAATCTGACTGACTTTGTCATAATTAATCATATATCTAATTGCAAACGTGATTGCGATTGCTGCAAAAGTGTGTCTCTCCAGCTCACAGTAATTCTGTCAATGTTAGAAGTCTGTCAGAGCCTCAGTCATTAATTAACATTATAGGATTGCTCTATAAAGGCTTTAATTTTGTTAAGTGTAAAACAATTTAAGGCATTAATGGAAAGGAACTGATGGTGAAAGAGGCTTATGGTATTAAATCTAGTTACGACTGATTATTTTTAAAGGTTTGATATATGATGTAGCATCTGGAAGACAATGAACGTCACAACATATCAGCTCTCATTCATGAAGCACATGCAGAATTAAGTTTTGTGCAAACGGTTCATGAAAACCATTCTTACATTAATTGTTGAATATAATTGCACTGGACAATTTATGCAAGAACGGTTTACAAACGTGAGCGGAAATATTCAATTAAATGTGAATAGTTCTTTGAACGTTTGACACAGAAATTAGTTCTGCTCATGTATTGCGGGCAAATATGTTTGGTAGATTTGAATGTAAGTCTGATTAATCCCTCTATATGTTTGCTGAATGAAAATGCAAGCACACACAGAGTTGCCAAAAACTTTCAGGGACACATATACAGACACACACACACACCAAACAAAACCAATAAAGTTAAAATGACCTCCTTGTGGAACGGCATAGTGAGTTTGTATCAGTTAACTCTTTCCCCGCCATTGACGAGTTATCTCGTCTTTTAGAAGACAACGCTTCCATGCGACGCGTTTTTTTTTACGGCTTTTGGTAAAAAAAAAGAATGCTTTAAGCTAGAATAAAACTGATTGTTTTGTTTAAAAGTAGAGGATTCAAATATTCATACAGCAAAATATTCTGGAGGCCATAAAAATTTTAGTGAAAATCATCAAAATTGCTGGCGGTGGCTGGCAACTTTTTTCAAAAATGCTGGCAGGGAAAGAGTTAATAATGGAATCTGTCTCAGAAAAACGCATCTAAAAGTTACAGGTCTGAAAATACTGATACACTTTGGAAAACGGCATGATGTGAACAATGGTGCCACATATCAATTCATAAAGCTGCAATGCTGGAAGAACAAAAACGCTGTGAAAATCTGAAAGGTTAGGCACTGAAAAAACTAGTGGAATGGATTGGAAAATGACCTGGCGATGTCACACGGTGTTGATGTCAAACCCTGATTGGTTAGAGTTCTTCATAGTCTCCGCCCTCACTGTTTCCTGGTCCGTCTCCACCTGCCAGGAAGGCCTCAAGATCATCCACAGTTCCTGCTTTCTTGGTCCTTGATGATTTCTTCTTCTTCTTTTCTTTCTCGTCTCCCATTCCCACGTCATCTTTTTCCTTTTTCTTGTGTTTGTGTAGTTTTTTGCTGCTTTTCTCATCCTCCTAGAACAAAAACAAGATTTCTCCCTATTATTTCACTACATATAAAGACAGTTTGTGCACAAGCAACAAAATCTGATGGCACGAAAAATGTTTTAATACGAGCAAATTATCAACCAGTACATGCTTTTTGGTCAGATACCGATATTGAGAAGGTTAACTGGTGTCCAATATAATGCTGTTATATATATAATACTATTTAATCATAACAAGATGCAAAATTAATACTTTCCTCAATAGTATAGAATTAGCTGTATTTGACATTAGTTCAAGTCAATTCACTTTTTCAGTGTTCTCATTCGATAAATAATGACACTTTATTGTTTCCTGTAAAGCTGCTTTATTTTAATTAACCAAATGTGTTGTTTCCTAAAGGCAGAATATTACAACACCGCCATTGTTTTCTTTTTATTATCTTTAAATTGCTTTGAAACAAGTTGTATATAAAGCACTATACAAGTAAACAAGATTTGTCCAAATGTGCCAAAAATATAAAAAAACAAACTGGACACTATGATTTGACAAGCTTGCTGGTAGATTTTGGAAGTGACACACATGGCCGATGCAGCAAACCTCAAAAATATTGTCAGTTTAATTGCCTTGGATGATATATCAGTCACAATCAATCACTAATATGGTCAAGTTTTTCCGTATCTTACCTCTTTGCTTTTCTTTTTCTTCTTTTTCTTGTCCTTTGTGGAGTGTCTGCTTTCATTATCTGCAAGATAAAACACACTTGGAAATGCGTCACATTCAGAAAGTATTTTTCTTCATATTCGTCAACACTGAAAGCAATGAAGCTGCAGTGCTCTGCGACAGCATAACCTCTGTTAGTCTCACCCAGAACAAAATATGCACCAATGTTTTCAAAGATCCACTAAAAGTAATCTTTTTTTTTTCATTTAAAATGTTAATTAAATTGACACTTAAATTAACCGTCAAAAAGTAGGACAGATTTTAATGACTGATTAAATAATGTAATCTTGACTTATCTCGTAATAATAATAATTATATATTGTATATATATATATATATATACATTCCTCTTTGGCTAAAAAAGATAAGGGCGTGAATCCTCTTTAGTTTTGATCAGTATAAGTGCAAGTCATTTACTGAATGTTACCTTCCTGGTCTTCACTGCTGTCTTTACTATTAGGTCTTGTCTCTTCAAATCCCAGGCCAAACAGGTCAATGTTGCTGTTGAGGGTCTGAAATGAGGGGGCAACAGGTTTGGGGGGCTCTGGGAGTCCAGCTAACACAAACCCATCATCCGACCGGTCAGATAAGTCATCTCGTGCAGAAAAAGTGCCCTACGGAAAACAGACGAAGCAGAAAAGATGAGTGACTGAATGGGATTCATTTGGTGGCACAGTACTTATTTAATATCTAGATTATCTTTTCTTATTGAGTGTATTTATTAGACTGTAGATGCATTAGATGATTTATATTTCTTTGAGAACAACATTTGAGATGGATTTAAGTGTATTTCAGTCAAGGTTATTATCATTAACTAAACTAAAAGCTAAAAACTAAAACATTTTAACTGAAAAAAAAAAACTTTTTTTTTTAGATTTAGACTAAAACTTTTGGAAGATTAAAATGAAAACAGAAAATGTAAACAAAAATCTAATTCGACATATTAAAAAATATACTAAAATAACACTGATTTCAGTGTGGAATAGCAGGCCATGGCTATAGATTTCATTCATCAATTGGTTACTATAAAGCAACTGATTATCAAGAGCCTAAAATTGGTTTTCTACCTTCTTGATATTAGGTACATCAAGCTCTTCGTTCTCAAAATCAGGGTCGTCCATGACAAATGAAATGATCTGATTAGCAACTGGAGCCTCTTGGTCTGAATCTGAGTTGGCCTCAACAGCGCCTCCTGTCTTCAGGCCTTCTCGCTGCACCGCAGGTCCTGCTGTGGTTTTCAGGCTTTGGGGTCTCTCTGCTGGTTTTGACTTGGTTTGCAGCTGTTTGACAGAATTCACTGTAGATCTAGAATCGAAAGTCAGATTCCACAGAAAATATGAGGTGCTTTCTAAGGAAATAACATCCTGACTTCAAATAAATATTCATCAGAGATCTATCCATCTATGTCTGTCTATATATCCATCTATCTATCTATTCATCCATCTATCCGTCTCTCCATCAATACATCTGTCAGTCTATCTATCCGTCCAGCCATATATCCATCTATCCCCCATCCATCCGTCCATAAACCATCTATCCATCTATCTGTCATCTATCTCTCCATCCATCCATGCATCCATTCATCCATCCGTCCATCCATCCATCTATCTGTTGTCTATCTCTCCATCCATCCGTCAATCCCCCTATCTATCTATCTATCTATCTATCTATCTATGAAAATCACTTGTGCCAAGTAGCATTAATTGAAAAAAATAATATTATCAAGAAATGAAAATTGGTTTTGCCTTCATTAAGAGTGATTTAATTAAAGTAAATTAGACAAGTCTCTCTGCTGATGGAATCATTTCTATTTCAGAAGCTCATCAACAGTGAGGGAAATTAATTAAAAACGTACAACAGATCTTCAGGAAATTCTGGTCAGGTCTCAACACGTCTGCATCTCACTGAAGTCTTTCTATTAAATGTATGATGCATCTGACACATCTGCAGATGGTTTCTTACCCCTTTGAGTTTGGCCCCGAGCCGATGCCTTTGTGCTGGGCAGCAGAGGGCAGAGATGAATCTTCCTCCTCATCATCACTCGTGAGGGTGACGCCTATGCTCGGGACCGCCGCTTTAACGGCAGGCTGGGACAGCGCTCTGTCATCCGGATCTAAATCATCCTGGAAGCCGGAGACCAGAGGATTTCCCCGTCCCTCTCCATCACTGAGATGACAAATGACAGGCAAACTCTCATGAGTTTAACATGTGACCAAAATTAAACTCATTCACTTTCACAATACATGCCCCTGCTCTTTTTGTGATCAATGCATCAGTCCTTATTTTAAAGATGTTTGTAAGATCACTTTTCCTCAAAATTCGCTACTTTCTTCATCTCTAAAAAAACAACAGAACCACAATCAACTCATTCTGAGACAGCAAAATCATGTTGATCTGAGCAAATGAAAAATCCCATTTGTAATCCTGTCCGGTATGTTTATGAGCTGCTGAAATTACTACAGTAATACTCAGACAAGCTGACGGGATGTTCTTTGCTTTTAGAAACAATAACTGTCTGTTATCACAGCTTACCTATCACTGTCCAGGATGGGAGCTGATGCTGGAGGTTTTTTCTTTGATTTAACTGCTAACGCTGCTGCTGTTCCACCATCTTCCAGAAAGGTCCGGTCCAGGCCCACCTCCGGCACAAATTCATCCACACTCTGCACCTTTCCAGAGGACTTCGGGCCTTCAGAACCTGCAGTTTCTAATGAAGATAAAAGACCTTAAAGGGTTTAAAATGAATGCATGTAATAAACCAAATGCTTTTCTAGCTTCATGGCAACAGGTCAGGTATGCATTTTAACAAAATGCAAGTTGACTGAAATCATATTAATTTATTGTGTTAAGTAATGGTAAGATGCACAAATTATGTTACACACCTGCAATGATCAGATATTTATACCATATTTACACCTAAAACATATTTGACCATTACAGAATTTTCCTGTTATTAAATTCTATTAAACTTTTATTATTAATTATTAAAATATGGTTACTACAAATGTAATCTTATTAGGTAAATCTGTAATTACACCTCAGGTATCAAAAGAAAAATATTTTATGAAACAGAATATATTTTTAAAATTGCATTAAAATAAAATGCAAGAATGATGTTACATGACTGCAAAGATCAGATAATTATACCAGAAACATACTTGACCATTACAGAATTACAGAATTGTCCTGTTATAAAAGTCTATTAACTTTTATTATTAATTATTATAATTATTCTGAACACAAAACATGGTTAATATAAACAGAACATAATTTCCTAAATCTGGCACTACACCTCAAGCATAAAAAAAGAAAAAAATATAAAAAAAATTATAATAATAATTTATATATATATATATATAAAACATTCAGCAATACAACATTCAGTACAGGTAATAATTTTCAATAATACTATAAACTCACAAAAAAGTTAAATATCCAGTTTTGGTGCTAAAATTTCACCAAAACATATTAAATGTAGTATGGAAATTAATATATGAATATATCTATACTTCTTGTGCTAAAATCCAAATAAAACCAAATAGAAATTGATAAAACATGGGCCATCTGTGATGCTAAATGAATGATTAATGATTATTTATGATATCGTGGCATCTTTAATTCCAGTTTAGACATTTGGCAAATTGGATCCAGCATTCCCCAGAACAAAAGGGAACTTTTGTGAAACCAAACAAAATTAAGAAACCAAAATATTTGCATATGATTTTTGAATATAAAACCTAATACAACATGATGATAGCCATTTGACACACTTTCTGTATATATGTGTTGACAGGAAGTGCATTAGTGTGCTTCTGCTCGGCCCCATCCCCCAGGATCTGCAATGCAGCAGCAGCAAATGCACTGGTGCAGAGCTGCGCTTGTGTCTGTCAGTCCACCGGTCTCCGTTAATGACTGTGCAGCGGCGGCTCCAGTGTTGCCTAATAATGTCTCATTGGTATTCAGTATATAAGGCATTGAATGTAGTCTCTGGACAGCAGCCCCTCTTTACTACAGTTCATATAGTCACATTAGCAAATGTACACACACACACACACACACACACACACTGTCTGGTCAGCTATCCTTGTGGGGACTCTCCATAGGCGTAATGGTTTTTCTACTGTATACACCGTATATTCTATCACCCTACACCAACCCTACCCCTAAACCTACCCCTCACAGGAAACTTTCTGCATTTTTAGATTTTCAAAAAACTTCATTCTGTATGATTTATAAGCTTTTGTACCCGTGGGGACCACAATTTAGGTCCCCACCGTGACACGAGTCCCCATGAGTCTGTGTGTATTCAGGTTTAAGTCCCCACCAGAATAGAAAAACACGTACACACACACACACACACACACACACAGTCTGGTCAGCTATCCTTGTGGGGACTCTCCATAGGCGTAATGGTTGTTCTACTGTACAGACCGTGTATTCTATTGCCCTACACCAACCCTACCCCTCACAGGAAACTTTCTGCATTTTTAGATTTTCAAAAAACTTCTTTCTGTATGATTTATAAGCTTTTGTACCCGTGGGGACCACAATTTAGGTCCCCACCATTACACGAGTCCCCATGAGTCTGTGTGTAGTCAGGTTTAAGTCCCCACCAGGATATATAAACCAGTACACACACACACACGTCTGGTTTACTATCCTTGTGGGGACTCTTCATAGATGTAATGGCTCTTCTACTGTACAAATTGTATATTCTATCCCCTTACACTAAACCTACCCCTCACAGAAAAAAAAATGCATTTTTACATTATCAAAAAAACTCATTCTGTATGATTTATAAGCTTGTTTCCCCATGGGGATTTAGGTCCCCACGGTGACACGAGTCCCCATGAGTCAGTGTGTATTCAGGTTTAAGTTCCCACCGGGATAGAAAAACATGTACACACACGCACACACACTTTGTGTTTGTTATTTTTTTGTTTGTTTGTTTGTTTGTTATTGTTAATTAAAACTAAAACCATAAAGCATATTTATTACTTGAAATAAAATAAAAATAAACCGAAATAAAATAAATGAAAAACTTAAGCTTATTTTATTTCAACTAGTTTCCAAGGCATCATTTCTCATTTTCATTTACTTTAACTTGAAGCACTAAAATAACTAAAATAAAAAGTAATAAAAACTTTATACACATATTAAAAAAAACAAAACAAAAAAAACAACAATTACTTATTACTTTAAATAAAATTAAAATGAAAACAGAAAATATAAAAATAAAAATCAAGTCAAAATATTACAGGCTTTCTGCATTTTATGAAGGTAATTTTAAGACTTTTAAAGACCTTTTTAAGACTAAGTAAAGAAATTTAAGGAATAAATTTAATGGAACACGATACATCCGTATGGTCTCTAAATGTAAATGTCTCGAATTAGCAACGCTTCAAAGTTTTAAAATACAACCTCCAACGGATCTCCATTACTTTCTAATTCATTTTACAAAAAAAAAAATTCTTAAGATTCTTAAATCAAGATACGTTTACTTGAGAAACAAAATGACAGAAAATACGTTTTGTTTTCTGAGAAAAAACAATGAAGTAAGTTTATGATTAAAACGAACAAATATCTGCCAGTGGGTTCGGAAAAAAACACATTAATTCAAAGGGAAAAAAGTTTTCATATCCCACTGGCAGATATTTGTTCTTGTTTCAAGCATAAACTACTTAATTTTGTTTAATTTCTCGGAAAACAAGACTTCATTTCTTCAATTTGCTTTTCAAGTAAATGTATCTTGATTTAAGGATGTTTAGATATTTATATTGGAAAACAAAACAGAAAAACTGAGGAAGATTTTTTTTTTTTTTGCAGTGCAAGCAACATCACTTTATGAATTTAAGATTTTCTGTTTCAATTTAAGACCTTAATTTGTGGAGGGGTGAATTAAGGCTTTTAAAGACCTTTTTATAGACCTGCAAAAACCCTGTATTAATAAAAACTATAATAATATATCAATGATTCTATAATAACACTGTTCTATGCTGACCTGGTTTGTCCGGTGACGTCTCTGCAGCAGACGATCCGAACAGGCGTGAGATGAAGCCTCGTTTCTGGGCAGGAGGAGGTGCGGGTTGGGCAGGTGCGGGCACCGGTGCTGTAGGCGAAGGCTCCAGGGTTTGTGATGGTGTCTGGGATACATGGGCGGCTGTGATCTGTGCGGGAGGGTGTGGTATAGATGGAGGTGGTGGAGGGGCGGATTGGGTCTGGAGCGGGACAGGGGCCTGTGGGGTACTGGGGCTGGAGTTACTGGGAGAGGCAGCACCGGGCAGCACCACAGGGGACTGGGAGCCTGAGGACGGGCTCTGGCCATTAGAGGGTGCCGGAGAGCCGTAAGCTTTGCGTGACTCCATCATCTCAAGAAATCTGGAAAAACAGTCAAATAGTGAAATTCAGAAAATGATGGTCGGATGACATTCCTGTCTAAGTGGGCGGCTCTTGGCCAGAGTAAAAAACAAAACCGACTTGATTTAATGCCAAAGTCCCAGTGGCAATAGTGCCACTGAACTCCGAGCCTCTATGATGCTCTACAGCAAGGGTTACCAAAATCTTGTTAATTCAAAACACTTATATGTAAAATATTTACTTGAAGTACCCCCTGATATTGTTAATATTTCAATAATTTACCAACACATTAATATTAATCACTAATATTATATATTATATACATAATACTAAATATGTTCATACATACATATATATATATATATATATAGAGAGAGAGAGAGAGAGAGAGAGAGAATAATAATTTAAAAATAGAAGAATCATTTTTATATTTATTGTAAAAAATTCTTATAAAAATATTGTGTTAATATTAATTATTATTCTACTTTATTATAGAATGCTAGATTGCCCTTTACAAAAAAAGGTAAAACAACAATGTCGGACGATTTTGAAGTTGGAGGAGAAAATGAGATGACCTTTCCAACGTGATTACGCAATGCCTGAATTTGCGGACGCGCATTGCAGAGCTAGTGCAAGACGTGCATTTGTGGTTAAAAAGTATATATATATATTTTTTTTTTAGAAAATTACCGATCGCTTCACTAGATAAGACCCTTATTCCTCAGCTGGGATCGTGTCGAGCCCTTTGAAGCTGCACTGAAACTGCAATTTGGACCCTTCAACCCACTGAGCACCATTGAAGTCCATTATATGGAGAAACATCCTGGAATGTTTTCCTCAAAAACCTTAATTTCTTTGCGACTGAAGACAGAAAAACATGAACATCTTGGATGACATGGGGGTGAGTAAATGATCAGGAAATTTTTATTCTGGAAGTGAACTAATCCTTTAATCGGCCAGAATTGATACTTGGGGTTAGAAGTTTGTTCAAAGCCATGTAAGTTAGAAGTGGCCTTTAAACTTTGACTGAAAAAGACTGAAAAAGGAGAGGAAAACAGATCTCGGCACAGCACTGAAATTTTCATGAGTTTGACATGCTGTGCTCGACGGACTGATTCTGAGCAGCGGGATTTGCATCACGTTTATTGCAGCAAGTCTGAACAACTTAGTCAGGTTGTTCTACTGACAACACTATTCACAAATAATAAAGACTTGTGCGTAACAGGAGAAGATCTAAACAACAGTGTCCAACAGACAAAAGATTCATAAATTGACTTGAACTCATTGAACCCAATGAAAACATCCTTATATGGTATCCAATACTTTTATGATCTATAGAGGTTGCATCTGTATTTATGATCTTGTATGGGTGGTTAATTTAACTAGACTAGGTAAGTTAATTTCTCTAAAAGGATCAATAAAATACATTAAACTGAAACCAGTCCTCCAACCTACTGACTGTGGAGTAACCTCAAGAAGAGCCTGAGACGCTGACACATAAGACTCAGCAGTCGCCATTGATCCCCGGGCTAATTTCAACCTACCTTATTAATTAATGCCATTCAGCCAGTCTCAAGAGACGCATAACGAGAATACATCTAAAGGAAGGACTTTAACGCTACTGCTAAAGTAGAGGTGCTCAAATCTGCTCCACAGCTGCCTACTGAGGGCTCTCGAGAAGGTCTTACTGTAGGCTTCCCACAACTTCTGACCCATTAATTTCCCACACATTTGTGAATGTGATTAACATCAGTGTTGTTATTGTTAAAGGGTTAGTTCACCCCAAAAATGAAAATTCTGTCATTAATTACTCTCCCTCATGTCGTTCCAAACCCGTAAGACCTTCGTTCATCTTCGGAACACAAATTAAGATATTTATAGCTCGCGCATGAACATAATCTGTGTAATCAGCGTTGTTTATGCTTAGGGGAAAGCGTGCGTATGCGTTGTGATACTCTCTAAAATGGTGGAAGACGTAACTCGGGGGAGAAGAATTGTTGAAAAAATTGTTATTTTTGTTTTCTTTGCGCTCAAAAAGTATTCTCGTAGCTTCGCAAAACTGAAGTTGAGCGACTGATGTCACATGGACTGTTTTACTGATGTCCTTACTACGTTTCTGGACCTGGGAACATTACGGTTGCGTTGCTCTCTATGCAGGGTCTGAGAGCTCTCACATTTCATCAAAAATATCTTAATTCGTGTTCCAAAGATGAACGAAGGTCTTACGGGTTTGGAACGACATGAGGGTGAGTAATTAATGACAGAATTTTCATTTTTGGGTGAACTATCCCTTTAACCAAAACAAAGTAAAATTAAATTTTTTTTTAATAATTTTCGATAATTGAAATATAATAAAATATAAATATTAGATCAAAAACTTTGCAACTAACTGAACTAAAATAAGTTTAATTTGAAGTACTAAAAAGGCTAAAATTAAAATGTAAAAATAAAAACTAAATAGAAACATTAAAAAACCTAAAACTAATAAAAATGACAAAATTACTAAAACGTTACTTTAAAATTATTCAATTAAAATGAAAACTGAAAATATGAATATAAAAGCTAATTCAAAATATTAATAAATACTATAATATTGTACAAATAATACTAATATAACACTGGTTTAATTAAAATCCTTTAAATTGATTAAAACGTAAAAAAAATGTTTAGAGATTTTACTCATTGATATCAATTTTTAGCTACTGGAATATTTTAGAACAATGCATTTAAAAAAATAAATAAATACAATTTAATTTTTGATGGAATTTTCCATTATAGACTTTAAAGATTTCATTTATTTCTGTGACTTTTCCAGGTCAGGAAATTGCAATTTAAAACGGTCTGATATTTCTAGGTTTTCAATGACCATGGGAAATACTGAGAGTTCAGAAATCATAATTATGACATCATGTGAATTCAAGAGATTTTGCTAAGAATAAAAAAAACAAACAAAAAAAAAAACAAATGCATGCATTGGGAAATTTCATATTTCTCTTGTTTTTACTTCCTAACAAAGACAGAAGCATTTCAGCACTAGTGGAAAAAATAAAAAATAAAAAATTTATAAATTAATTATAAAACAGCTAACATACAATAAAAAAACTCGGCTTTTAGCCCCAAACCGTGCATGCTACATCTATATGTTTACACAATAGCGCAATGTCCAGGCATCTTTAGAATACTTGGGTGACACTCATTCTATTCCTGCATACTACTTTGAAAAAAATAAATAAAATAAAAATAGTGTGAATTAGAACGCAGCCCTGAAAACTACAGTAGGTGTGTTAGAGCAAGACGACAGATCTCCAGGAGGAGCATAAAGAGCCCCTGCCATGATCCAAAAACCAAAAGTATCAATGAAATTAAATCCCCATGTAAGATATGTGAAGATTCCACTTGAAATGATGCTAAAACTAGATAAACACTGACCCGAGAGCAAACATTCATCTCTGACTTTGAGAGTTTCCTCTGACCTGCAGCTGCAGGAATGGGATGTTGAAGAAGCGATGGAGGTATTTGAGACCAAAGCCGTTTTTCATGGAGGACTCGGCATAGTGGATGTAGGAGGAGCCTGGAGGTCTAAAATGAAAAAGGATTATGGGATTAAGGAAAAGTTGACTGATAAGTGACAGACATACATTATTCATAAGAGCTTTGCATGGTATGTCTGGAGTCGTTTTAACTTAAAAAAAAAAAAAAAAAGTGTCAGTAACAGGTTTTTTTGTGTAGGTTATTCATAAAAGACGGATCTTCCCAGTATTTATTGAAACGCTTGTTATTTCCCTTGCTTGATTCATCAGCATAAACTGCCGGTCACTACCGGTGCGACTATAGTATAAATAGGCACCGGGAGCACACATCATTCACTTCTTCGTCTGAAGCTTGCGTCCGCAGCATGGCAAGAAACCTAGAGGACGCAGTGTCTCGTTCCCTACTCAGGGAACCATGGTTACATAAGTAACCTGAGACGTTACCTTTCATGGGAACTTCGAACTGCGTCCTCTAGGGGTCGCTATGGGGGAACGCCTCGTCGTGACCCGTGTCTGAAGCATACATTGAAAAAACACCAACTCGTTGGCCGGCGACAGCCATGACATCACTACCGGTGCGACTATAGTATAAATAAGCGCCGGGAGCTACACATCATTCACTTCTTCGTCT